CGGCGGCGAGTGGCGGCGGGTGGCGGCGGTCGGCCTCTGGTTCGTCTTCTCCGGCGAGCGGCTGGCGGCTAGGGTTTGTGGTCTGGTGTGGGGGTTCTATTTATAACCCCTTGCCTTTTGATCACAGCCGTTCATTTTGTTTTAATCTGGGCCGTTCGTTTTTGATTGAATCTGGGCCGTCCGTGCGATTGAATCTGGGCCGTCCGATCGCGTGATTGATCTGGGCCGTCGGATCGCACCCACGCGGATCGCCAACGTGGCTCCTTTTGGAGTGACGCGGTCTTGCCACGTGGCAGGCCCTGGTTGGCCGGGACTGCTGACTGGGCCTGCTGACGTGGCTGCTGACGTGGCCGCCCTTTTTTTTTTTTTTTTTTTTCCTCCTTTCCGGGTGCTACATCTACCATCTAAAATAGTAGGATCACTCCCACAATCTCTTTTATTTGGTGGAATATCATTATCCTTGGTAATTTAGTAAGTTCTTAATATCTCGCACTCACCAATAGATAGTTGTATGTTCTCCTATAACTCATACAGTTCGAGATTCCCTTTTATTTCACTAATATTTGGGAACTCATCCTCAAGAAAATCAACATTTTAGGAGTTAATTTCGATCATGCCACCATTCGGATCTTCTCCAAATATTACACATATTTTTAAATGTTTAGGATATCTGATGAACACCATTTTAGTTTTTCTTTGACCTAATTTTTTGTGCTTGTTAGTTGGGTTATGCACATAGTCTGCTGACCCCCAAGGACGTAAACCATCCAAAATGGGTTTCTTGTCATTTCATGACTTATATAGAGTGACGGGTACACTTTTACTTGGTACACATTTAATGATGTAAGTTGGTGTAAGTAATGCATCTCCCCAAAATTATTAGAGAGATTGGCATGTGTCACATCGATCTACCTATTTATAGTAATGTATAATTTTTTCGCTCTACAACACCATTTTGTTGTGGAGTATGGGGGGTTGTAAGTTTCATACATATATCCTTTTTCTCATAATATTCTTTGAACATATCATAAAGGTATTCATGACCACGATCAGTTCGAAGAATCTTTACTCTTCGATCCATTTGATTTTTCACTTTCGCTACAAAATGTTTAAACATATTTAGCACTTTATAGCGGTGATAAATTAGATACACATACTCATATTGTGAATAGTTATCTATAAAAGTGAGAAAGTAAATGGCATCATGATGTGCTTTGATATTTAAAGGTCCGCAAATATTAAAATGGATTAATTTTAAGGGATTTGACGCCCTTGAAGCCTTATCAAAAAGCTTCTTACTCGCTTTATCAACTAAACATGGCTCATATTTAGACCTTAGTAAGGTAGTATAAAAGTCTTTATTTAGCTAGTATGCTCATTCGATCTTGACCAATATAGCCAAGTCTAGTATACCACTTAACAGATTCAGAATCATAATCAAAGTGAAAAACGTAAGCAAGTATAGAATTATTTTATATATTATCATCCAAGTCAAGAACAAAAAAACTATTTCTTAAAGGCCCATGACCAAATACATTGTCATGATATAAAATGTTTAACATACCAGACTTAAAGTTAAAAGAAAAATTCAATCTCAATAAGGAAATATCTGAAAGTAAACAACATCACGCCTCGGATGGATAGAGAGTATCATGGAGGAAAGTATTTCCTTCACGTAGCTTGAGCTGGTATGTTCTAATTTCAATGATGTCTTTTTCGCTGTCGTTGCCCAATACAATGGTTTGTGAATCCACCAGGACACGGTGATAGTTCACGAATCCTGCTCGATCTTAAACTACATGTTTGCTTGTCCCATATCTACAATCCAATTAGAAGAATAATTAGCAACTAATGCATGAGAACAAATAAATAAATCAATAGGCAAAATAGAGAAAGGTACATTTTTCGACATGGAACAATCATGAGCGAAGTGAACCTTGTTGCCATAGTTGTAGCACTTCACAACGTTATGTTTTTCTCTCTATTGCCCTTAACCTTATGTTGTTTGGCCATATCACCTTTAAGTCCATTGACTTGAGAGGGGCCCTGACTTTTCTTAAATTGCTTAGCATAATTAGACTTGTTTCCCTTAAGTCTAATCCCATGGGCAACAAGTGGCACATTGGAAGGATTAAACACCTTTGATGTTCAACCTCCATCTCAATGTGCCTAACGATTTCAGATAAAGTATTAATGCGTTCACTATGGACCATCAGAAGTTTAAAATTTTTTCAACATTCAAGTCCATTTGGAAGTGAATGAATCACATTCAAAACTTTCTTATAATCTCCTATGTCACACCCTCCAGCCTTAAGATCACGAACCATAGCACTCATAACATATAAGTGTTCAGCTATACTATGTTTTGGATCCATTTCATACTTCATCCACTGTAAATTCAAGACACAGAGTCTTATAAGAGATGTTTGGCCACAAGTGACCTTAAACTTGTCCCATATATCCTTAGCCGTGGAACAACTCTCAAACTCTCAAATGAGCTTGTTGTGCATGAAATACAACATAATATAACGCGCAAAATTATCCTTCTTAGATCATTCCTGGTATGATCTAAAGATCCCCATTGTATTGATCTCTACTAATATTTTTGGCTTAGGTACAGTAGTGATCAAGGTTTTAAACTTTGCACTCATTAAGAAGATATTGAATCCTCTTATGCCATATATCACAATTTGTCTCATCCAACTTTTCGTTTGTGGACAAATTAATAATTATGTTCTTGATTGCTATTTTTACAAGTATATAAAAAATAGATATTAATCACAATTTTTCATAATTAAATTATTAAAATTTTATTATTTATATCACATGTTCAAAAACTTTGTTAAATTTATAATCATTACATATGACACAAATTAAAAATATTATAATATAATTATCATAACAAAAAAAATTAAATTAAATAAAATATATTTATATATCTCTTTAATTTTGTTAAATTAATTAATATAAAAATATTTTTGATAGATATATATAGTTATTTTATTTTAATAAAGGATGTCTAACTAGCTAATGGTATAAAAGTGCTAAATCAAATGTATGGCTGGAGAGGTTACGGGTTCAAATCTTTATCTCAATATCCAAATTTTTTTTAAACTAAAAGACAAAATAAGTGATATCATCATCATATGAGAAAAAAATAATAAAATAAAAGGCCTCTCCTCTCTTTCCTCTCGAGAGTCGGTTATGTTTTTTTATGTATATATATATATATATATATGTATATCTTCAATCTCCTTTCCGCTTTTTTTTTTAAATTTTCTATATATATATATATGCATACATATATATATATATATCTTCAACATTTTTCTCTCACAATTTTCTTTCTTCTTTCCCGTACCCGCACACGCACACGCACACGCACACGCACACACAGTGTATGCTTTTTTTTTTTTTTTTTTTCGTTCTGCCACTCACGGCACAACAACGTATTTAGGGTTTTTGAATTTCACTAATTATGCTATTTTAGTAGAAAAAAATTTAGGAGTTACTGATTTTTAATAAAAAATATATACATGTGTAGAAAAGCACATATAATCTAAATTCATCATAAAATAACCAACAAACTTAGTCTATATTCGAGCATAATTATTACAGAAATAAATACAAGCAATTAGACTTTAATATTATTATTAAAAAATTATAATTAATCTTAATACAAAAATAATAAAATATAATACTTATTTTTCTGCTCACAAAAAATAATTTTTAATTATTAACGTTCTTAAATATTTTTTTCAGATAGTACTTTGATAATTTTTATATTTTAAAATTTAAATTTATTTATGATTTAATTAAATACGAAAAAAAATAATAATATATTATTTTTTTATTTAATTAAATAAAAATATTTTTTTTTTCGTTATATTCTTACTAATAATCATATTTTTTTTATAAAAAGAGTTTCTCTTTTATATATTTACAAAAAATTACGTCTTTTTGCAAAAAGTACTATAGGTGTTCTTAATTTTAAGCAACATTTAAAAAAAAGTCTTCTTAGGACTTTTGTTTCTAAAATTATTTTATTAAAAAAATAAAAATAATAACACAAACATTAAATTAGTTAAACGTCAACATAAACAATTAAAAATTTATAGCCATTAGTTATCAAAGGAATACAAAAAAAAAAAAATTGCTTTTCATTTTATTAATTTGGACCTTATAGATATTTAATACCTAAATTTATGATATTAACATGAGAAAATCTTCATTTTTTTATGCCATAATATTTTCCTTAAAAGAAAAGGTGAGCTGAATGCTAAAAATTAAAGGTGAAAATCATAATTTTACTGTCTGAACTAATGATAAATTAAATTTAACACACTTATAATTTAGCTGATTAATATTAATTAGATTGAAATAGAATTTCGTGGTAATAAATTATTATGCATTTAGCAGAGTGGATCATGGCATTTTCTTATTAAAAAACCTTCTCCCCGGGTAACGGACACCGGGAGGACCGTCATAATCGATCGAATCTAGGGTTAGGGTTTGTGTTAGGAGAAGAGGAGAAGAAATCAAAATGGAGGGATGGGATCCGAACACGAAATCGACTCTAACCCAGATCCCGCTGCTAACAACGAAGGCTGGGCCGAGAGACGGAGCGGCATGGACGCAGAGGTTGAAGGAGGAGTACAAGGCCTTGATTGCCTACACCCAGATGAACAAGTCTAACGACAACGATTGGTTCCGGATTTCCGCCGCCAATTCCGAGGGGACACGTTGGACCGGCAAGTGCTGGTATGTTCACAACCTCCTCAAGTACGAGTTCGACCTACAGTTCGATATCCCCGTCACTTACCCCTCCACCGCGCCGGAGCTCGAGTTGCCGGAACTCGATGGCAAGACGCAAAAGGTTCTATCTTCGTTTATGTTCTCCATTTTGTTTTTGATCTTTTTCTCTTGATTCTTGATTAATTCCGGTTTTTCTTTTATGGTTTTGATATTTTTGATCGTTTTGGTACAGATGTATAGAGGAGGGAAGATTTGCTTGACCGTGCATTTCAAGCCTCTCTGGGCCAAAAATTGGTAATTTCTTATTTTCGGGAACATTTGATGTAACGGATGTTGGGATATTTTTTGCCTTCATGGATTATGTGGATTCTGAGATAATGCAGGAAGGAACATTTAATTTATAACCATGTTGATTCTTCTGCTAACTGCAACTAGTTTTACTGATTTCTATATAACCATGGGAATCTTAGATTCAAAACTTGAAGTTCATTGGTTATAGTGCCTGTGAATTGGAGAATGGGTGCATTTGATCCAATGGAGTTACTTAGCTGTAATTGGAAGCATATCAGGACTTCATAGGTGGCACTTCAATTTTTTCATCAAAGGTTTTGGATAGTTGGTATGGCCAGATTGCTTGATGAAAATAAATGAAGTAGGTTGTCATTGCATCAGTTCTTATCCGAAAAGAAAACCGGGAACATAGTGAATTCATCTATGCTGCATTCATGTATTTGATGAAGGTACATGTTAAATATCTATATTGCTTTCCTGATGGAAATAGATGAAGCAGGTTGTTACCCACATGAGTTGTTTCCTGAAGGAAAATCAAGAATGTAGTAAATTTGTTGCTGCTGCATTAGGGTCCAACTCTGGAAGGAGAAGCCATGCGTTGGTTTTTGCACATACTTTCCCATAAGAACTCAAGCTTCTTCCTATGTTCATCTGCTTTTGCAGTTTGAATCACTTTTATCTTAATTAAGATATTGTAATTTATGTTAATCCTGGATCATATCTTCGTGCTATGTTTTCTTCCCGGTTTGATTTGTACATAATCCTTAGGGCTCGTTTAGGTCCAATCTCCAATCTCCAAAGCAGAAGCCATCTTTCAGTTTTTGCATCTATTTTCCCATAGGAACTCATGCCTATTTCCCATGTTCATCTGGTTTTGCAATTGGAATCTTTTTTCTTAATTAACAATTCTAATTTATGTCTACTTCACTTCATCTCTCGTTGCCATAATTCTTCCTCTTGTCAGTGGCACCAGCTTGATATGTATGTACTATTATTTTTTCTATAAAAAATGATTGCTCCGTTCCTTTTCGGTTTTGCAGTCCCAGGTTTGGCTTAGCACATGCTCTTTGTCTGGGTCTTGCTCCATGGCTTGCAGCGGAAGTTCCTATTCTTGTGGATTCTGGTATGATCAAGCACAAGGATGACACAACCTCTTCCAAGGATTCGTAATTTATGTACGATATTAAGTTTGTATTTCAGAATCAAACTTCTCAGGTCAGAGAAAGAAAATAATTGGGGAGGCATAAGCATGTGTTTTACAGGATGTCCAACGAAGTGTACAATTTTTATTCATACATGTTATCGATGGATCATAACAAGTCCAATGATATAGTACTTGCATTTTTCCCAGTGCATAGGATTGTTGTTCTTCTCCTTTTCGGTTGAACTCTATGATGCCTTCGACTCATTCTAGGATTGTTCTTCACATGCTGCCTGTGTGAAAATATTCAGGCTGATGATGTTTAAGAATCTATATAGGAGTGGCAGAAGGTTTTAAACTTGGAGGCAAGTGGCATCGTCGAGTTGAGAACAGATTTTTGTATTTGCCCCTCTTGCTGCTTGCTGCCTTTATGGCAAAAATCATTGAATCATGTTAGCAAGATGGATTTATTTATAAAATTTATTTAAAGGTTACATTTTGTTTGCTCATGAGCTGAACATATTAACATCTAAGAATGCATCTACAAATATATTCTCGTTGCTAAAGCATTTCAAACACAACCAATAAATATATTCATGTTAATATAGTTTTACCTTCTCAAGGTTTTCAGAGAGGACAGTATGTCTTTAGTTTACTTTATGCTGATTCAGTATAGCTTTTCAGTCCATATCTGCTCAAATGAAATTTAGAAGGATTTAATATTACATCAAGAAAATAAAGCTTCTACCAGGTTAAAGTGCATAATCAAAGGGTCCTCTTTTTTTTTTTTTTTAAATTAAACCTACTAAAGCTTCAAACTAACCATACGATTTTCAGAAGCTGTCCTATAGTCTTTTGCTTTGCATGGTTTCAACATTATGATAAAGTGCAGCAGTCGTGAGCCGCATATACATGTAAATGTTGCACCCAGTAAAAGGGCTGAGAATATATTTGGAGATAAACTTAACATGTTTTAGCAATGAGACATCACCAGTTAATGTCTAATTCTGAAGAAATTGGGAGCAAATGTTCTCTATAAGGCACACCCATTGAGAAAAAGTTTCTAAAAGACTAAGAGGGACAAACCTGCAGGCCAATTTTTTGACATATATCTTTTCATCAACTCAGTGATTGTAGATGCAGCATGGAGCATTTGCAATCCTGATGGTCCAATGTTAACATATGGGATGCGAGCAATTAGGTTGACAATCACTGCCTCTTTCGTTTTGGTATCACCCTTGAAGATGAGGGCAATCTCTAACAGAGAAGTGTTGAAGTAGTCTCAGATGCTGTGGGCATTCTGGCAAAGACTTTATGTTTGGACAGTCTGAGATTGCCAGGATTCGTAGTGAGGAGAAACAGTCTACCTAATTTGACAATTCAATCAAATTTTCACAGCTGCGGATTTTGAGGTTTTGCAGTGGTGTAATATGAAGCAGCCCATCTGATAGAGCGGGCAATTTAAGATATTTAAACTTCAAAGATTCAGGAGATATTTCACTTCTCATGTATGTATGTCAAATTTGGACATTATATAATTGTTAGGTCCTCAAGGGCTGTTAGGTGTCCTATTCCGCAGATAAAGAAAAAAAGTCTATAACAGTTCTCAATAGAAAATGATTGAAGCGAGTACTGCCTTCACCGACTAATCTTCAATGGTTTCACTACTCTGAGACTTGTTGTCCCGTGGCAGTGAATTAAACTTGGGGCAGGAACCTATTGTCAAAGAGACAAGATAAGTATTGCTCTGTAACAACTGGGAGAGACAGAAGTTCAGGACAAATGTCAATAACCAACGTCAAGAGTGAGCTTAAGAAAGATGCTGACCTTAATATAAGTTGCGCAATTCCAAATTTTGAAGAGATGGAAACTGTAGCATGGTTGTCAAGAAAGAACTATTTACAACAGTTAGTTTATTCAGGATAGGGAATGCCACCGAGGAGTCTGCTCTGTCCCAGGTTCTCAAATTACATCATTCCTTGGTGGACACTTCTTTCAGTGACAAAAAAGCAGTACTGCCTTCTCCATAGAAGTCCTGACCAATTTGTACAACAGAATCCATTCCTTGAATGCTGAGAATTTCCATAGTTTGAAGTTGCCCAAGAATAGGAAAAATTGTTGCATTCTCTACAGTTGATTAACACCAGCTGCCAAAGACGAGGGAAGTAAGTATCCCAAGTGCTAGATCCAATCTAGGAATCTTGATCCTGGATAATCTTTAATTGTCAGGCTTTCTATAAGTGGATATGGCTTAAGCTTTTGAAGCAAAAGTTCAGTATTAATGGCTGGTTGCGCACTGATTATTGGTGGGGACTTGTACTTATCAATCTTGCTTTCAATGTCATTCCACCATAAGAGCTCAAGTGTATGTAGATATGCAACAAGTGAATTAAAGAAGGTGATTTCTCGATATCATTTTTTATCCCCAAGCATTTAATTTTTTAGCTCACCTGAAAGATTTAGCCTTCTGAGTTCTTACATCTTTCCCATCGCAATTGCTAATAATAAGAAGTGGCAGTTTGCAAAGACCTGCTAACCTTCCAATATGGCATGTCATGCCAACAAGTCTTCCACAACCCTTCAGAGCTTTTACTTAAATTATTTTTTATAACTGTAAGAAAAATTTACATCATCTTTTAGTTACATTAACTGTAAATTTATATTAAAAATCATAATTTTTTTATATTTGTTCTAAACATAGGCTTCAGAATTTTGTTGAAATTAGTTACAAATTTATATTTACTGTTTGAGGTTAATAAGTCCATGCAATAATGATATAAATCAAACTAAAACACCTTAGATTTATTTATTTGTCTATTATAAGGATCAAAAGTTTCAAAGCATAGTAGAAGTTTTGAATCAAAAAAGTATTACAACAGAGTTTTAACAATTCCATTCTGTAGGCCATTTGAGTCAAGACCTCATGCTATAATTAGCCTTCTCTTATTCTTCAACTTTCGCTCTTAGCCTAAAATTGGAACAAAATCATAGTTTTCATTAAATTCATTTATAAATCTACATTTAGTTCAACTAAAAAATTGTAAAAATTCTCCATACAATGACAAATTTTGACCTTAGAATTTTATGTGAAAGCATTGTTCTAATTTCACATAAAATTTCATATCAAGTCAATTTTTATCATCTTTTAATAGAATTTATACAATTTTATTGTTGAACTAAGTAATAATTTTTAAATGAATTTCACAAAATTTTAGAATCTGTTCCAAATATAACCTTAACCAACCTCTTAACCCTCCAATCAGAAGATAGGACCAGCTGCAAGGATCTCTTCAGTCAGCTTGTCATCTTTCCCAATCTTGTGGTTCATAAATACCTCAAAATTCCTCCTGAAGAGACTACCCAGCTTCAATAAGGTCTCCTTGTATGCCTTCTTGTCAGACCACTGCAATTCAAAAAAGCCATAAGCAAAGTGCTTGTACTGAATGGAGATTGGGGAATCTAATAAAGACTACTCACAGTGTTTGATGGTTCCAGCATTTCTGATGGCACACCCTCAATTGCAGTTGGAATCTCGAGTCCAAACACTTCAGTTTTCACATAGTTCGCTTCCAAAAGACTACCTGAATGTATGGCATCAATAATTTTTCGCGTATAAGCTAGCTTGATGCGTTGGCCTGATCCATAGCTGTTCATCATGCATGAAGTGGAAATTAATTTTCGATACTGAATAAAAAATGCACCCCCATGTGAATTCTTATAAGAAAGCCTAGCACATACCTTCCACCAGACCAACCGGTGTTAACAAGCCATCCTGTGGCTCCGTGCTTTTGCATCTTCTCAGCCAACATAGCTGCATATTTTGTGGGGTGCAGCATAATGAATGCAGCACCAAAGCAGGCAGAGAAGGTTGCCTGAGGTTCCTTGATACCATCCTCTGTTCCCGCAACCTGTTTTTGCAGCGAAAGATGTTATGATATATCTGATTTCATCAAGTTAATTATGACTAAAAAGGTTATTTCAAAAAAAAAAAATAATGATTAAAAAGGTTTTGTTCTAGTTCTTGATTATTTTGTTATTCCATGTTTGCAGAACAAAAGGATAACTTCTCCTAAGCAATACATTTTATAAAAGTGAAAAAGGGATGCCAAAATCTAGAAAAGTACAAGTATAGGCTTGAGAATTCCTGATTCTTCTAAATTTACCAGAGCAGTGTAGCCACTGATGAAGTGGTACATAGTCTGTGCCAAACTCAGTTTGCTCACAGGTGGGAGCACCCCAAACGCATCACAGGCCAGAAGGATAACATTCCTTGGGTGAGGACCAACACAAGGTATCTTGGCATTGGGAATGTACTCAATTGGATATGCAGCTCGAGTGTTTTCTGCAACAATACGTGAGTTTTCAGAATGCAAAGAAGCATGCACTAATATTTCTACTTAAAATCTTTAGAAGATATGGGACTAACCAATCCTGAAAATATTAACAAGAACTCATTTAGTCTTTACCTGTGACAGACTTCTCTGTGTAATCCACTTCTCGGGTATGTTCATCAAAGACAACATTTTCTAAGACTGACAAATAAAGGTAGTTGAATTAGCTCCAAAACAATTGTCGCATAGAAACTTATGACAGACAACAAAGTAGTAGCTTCTTCCATAATTAGTCTAGATCATTGTTATCTAGACTAAATAACACAGACCAAAATTGTGAAAGAATTCAGTGAAGATGGATCAGATTATTACCAGTCCCAAACTTGATGGCATTCCATATATCAGGCTCCTTCTCCTTTGACAAGTCGATGCACTTTGCGTAACAACCACCTTCAATGTTTGCCACACCATTTTCGCTCCAGCAATGCTCATCATCTCCAATCAAATACCTATTATGGTCTGTGGACAAAGTTGTCTTTCCAGTACCTATACATTAACATTAACAAAAACCAACCGGATCAATAGGGGGATCAACTAGACACAAGCAAGAGAGATAAATATCAGTTACCAACTGGTGCCTCCCTTCTGAGAGGATGATGAAATAATAATGTACCTGATAATCCAAAGAAAAGGGCTACATCGCCAGCCTTCCCCATATTGCAGCCAGAGTGCAAGGAGAGGATTTGACGCTTAGGCATGAGATAATGCATTACACTAAATAGGCCTTTCTTCATTTCACCAGCGTACTGGGTGCCAAGGATGACCATCTCTCTTCTAGCAAGATTGATATCTATGCTAGTAGAAGAAGTCATGTAATGAGTATAACGGTTACATGGGAACTGCCCAGCATTATATATTGTGAAGTCCGGAGTTCCAAAATCCTCCAGCTCCTCAGGTGTGGGTCGTATGCACCTGTTATTCACCCGATTATTGTGTATATGCATAAGTATTTTTTTCATGAAATTGTCTAATCAACCGATTTAACTATAGTTATTTTACATTTCTCTGCTCAAGCATTGAATTCTACATAATCTAGAATGAAACTCATGAAGTGAAAGGAATACTTATTTTTGGATAACAAAAAAATGACGACAAATATTGAAGGTCAGTAGAGTAGAGAAATTGATTAATCTTCTGTTTGGATTTCCCATCCTATTTAAGCCCCAACTTGAAAGACAAAGTCACAAAGCAATACCAAGAACAAAAAATATTTAGCCTGTTACTTACATGTTGTGCATAAACAATGAATGATAAGCTCTAGCAGATACAATACGAACTTTGATTCGGTGTTCTGGGTCCCAATTCAGAAACTGATCATTCACAAATATCTGAAAAACAGATCTACCTTGTCAGTAATAGTTATGCAAGTTATAAAATAACCAAAAAAAAAAAAAAGAAAATTCAAGCACACAAAACAGACTTAGTAATTCTGTCAGCATAACCTATTTCATGGTAAAATTAGATTAATCCTGATTCACTATGAGAATTACAATTGTTTATCATTCACAACAGAACTCTAACTCCATCTCACTCAATCTTATTTATCTTGCCCATTTATATTAGGGGATATCTGGCTCGGTTTTCAGCTTTGCTTTTTGTGTTTTAAAAGTATTTTTGCAACCAAACAAATAAACTGCAGCGTGTTTTTGATAACAATCTGCTTTTGATGGGATTAGAATAAAAAACTATAATGCGTAGTTTTTAGAAAATGGTTTTAGCTTTTATTAAAAATTTATACTTCAAATTTCAAAAATCATTTTCCACCAAACACAGTTTCTGTTTTTTTAAAACGACAGTACTTTTTACAACTACCTTTACCAAACACCACAACTTTTGACTGAAGCTTTACTCAACAGCTTAACAGTACTTTGAAAACACATAGTACAAGTTATAACAGCCCAAACATCCACTTAAGATTTAAACTTAATTATTATTAATTATGATAAAGTATTTATATTGATTAGCTTTACTAAATGTACAAGAAGAAGAACATCATTAATGTATGGAATATAGATATGCATATTAATATTGATCTTGTGCCAACCAAAAAACTTCACTCATGTATGGAACAGGGAAATCATGGAGAAACCCTGTACTTGACAAATCCAATCACTAAAAAAAGGAAATGGAACATGCATCCCACGAATTATACCATTTGTTATTGTTCTCTTGAATGTAGTAATCAACAGTAACTTACTATACAACACCATCATTCTGACGAGAAATTTCACACGAAGCAGTAGAAAGTAGTGGAATTGACACAGTAACCGAGTTAGATAAGACAAGCCAAAAAATAATAGCTGAGCATGCATACGGGCAACCTCTCCACACTTATATCTTATTCTTTCAACACTTATTATTCATTCTGCTTATTAATTAAAAGAAAAGAAAATGTTATGCAACTATAAAATAATTAAATAACAAATACTTATTCCACCGGAAGCTAAAATACACAAAAAGTAAAACCATACGCATCAAAAGAATACAAGAGAACAAAACAGGGCATTATAACAAATAAAGGTCTATTTAAGTAACTTATATTTAGTTTGTTATAAAGTTTTCACAAAGAGACAAAAAGAAAAAGAAAAAACCTTAAATTTTGCTTATAGATTAAGATGAAGATAGGTAACGAGTAATGACAACTCATTTATGATTATTTACGTAAGCAAGTGAGAACAAGAAAAAGAAGTCTGATCCCAAAAAAAAAAAGAAGACAAGACTGTATGTTAGGCAACCATCATCATCATTCATCATTGTAACTAATAGTAAGAGAACCAGAAACAGAGAATTTAAAATATTGTTGACACCTCTTGAATCCGGATAACCAAGGATAAATTATTGCGTAGACCATAAGGATATCTCCTCCACCCTTAAATTTTCATCACACCACTCAAGATTTTTGTCAAAAAAGACTGTAATTTTCTAAAACTACTAGGTGATTTTCTAACAAAAAGTTCAATGTAATTTGATAATAAGCTGTTAGTTCAATAAAATTTAAGGGGTGGTGACCCACCTTAGCTAAGACTATCTAATAATTTACTGCAACAAAGAGCTCCGTTCCTTCTTTTTTGTTTCATAAGAAGCATCAATGTTTATCAATATGTTATCAGATTTTCAATTGTGTCAGAGCGTGATACAACATCATACACGCATTTTCACAAATATTTTTCAAGATACATCTTACACGCATTATCATAAGCAGATTTTTTCATAATTTGAAAATTATCCCAATTTAGAAAAGGATAAGATAGTAACAATTCAAAAGAAAACGATATGGATCAAAAATCCGATTTAATGCATCAATCAAACTGAAAAAAAAGGGGAAAAAAACACCATGATGCTCTGGGTTTTTTTTTTTTTTTTTTTTTTCCGATTGCCACCTAGCCGACTGTACAAAGCAATCTACTTGCTTACAAGACTATAGCATACAAACACATGTGCTGAAAGAGGCGATAAATATATTATTTACCTTCTCCAATGAGTTCAAGTAATCCACTGCTCTTTCTCTGTTTACTAAGAAAGTATGTTCATCCATTTCAATATTAGGAGAACCCCTGTTAAAAACAAATAATATTCACTGGATCAGTCAAATTTCTCTGTTTACTAATAAGAGATATTTGAGAGAGAGAGAGAGAGAGAGAGAGAGAGAGAGGGAGAAAGAGAGATTCGCGGGGACGCAAGAAAACACTTACTTTCCCCACCAAAGCTCATCTTCGGTCGTCTCATCCCGGACGACACGTTTATCTCTTGGTGACCGGCCAGTCTTCGCTCCAGAAAGGGTGGCCAATGCGCCTGTAGATGTAATAAAAGACCCCTTCTCATATTTTATTGCCTGCTCGTAAAGCTCTGCACCACCATTTTCAATCAATCAATAAGCTTGTATCGTTTATCAATGATATGACCCAGAAAGGAAAGAAATTTGTTACACAATGCAAGAAAACTTGACAAGTTCGGTTATCTGATTAATCAAAGATGATTTCGATAACGAAAGGGAAATTTTAGAAAGATTACCAGCAGGAGAAAGATTGTAAAGAACGTGGGTGAACTTGAGTGCACTGTCACTGGAATTAATGGCCGGAGCATAGTGGTAGTGGTCAGTCACCTTCGCGGTCTCACTCTTCCTTGCCGGGTCTCCCTTCACAACCTTCGGCCCGGTTTCTCTCGTCAGCGATGCCAAAGACGCACTATTTACATTTTCACCACCATCCCCAAATTTGAATATTTTTTAAAAAAATTAATTGTAAAAAATAAAAATCTAGAAAACGGTATCGTTTCAGTGGAGGAGATATAAAAAAAAAAAAAAAAAAAACCTGATGGACTGGAGTTGCAGCTTCTGGCGGTCCTCTTCAGAGACGGTGGCGAAAGCTGCTAGGCCGGGCGTAATCGGAGTTGTCGGTGCAGATTTTTTCTTCTGCAAAGAGTGAAGCTCGTCGATGGTTTGGGCTTTAACGGGAGTGGTGCTGTCGTCATGACAGACTTCTGTCTTGTGCCCTGTTTCGATCTTCGCCAGTCCGTTCCGTCCCGTTTTGGTGCCAAAACGAGCGTCTCCGTTCTCTGCTCCGCCGTAACTCGCCATTTTTTCACTTATTCTCTGCAATTGAAACAAAAACAATTTTTCTCGTAAGTTTCCATGGAAATACATACAAAAGCAGAATTAATGAAAATGAAAAGGTGATACGTGTGCTTGTTGATGGTGCAAAGAGGAAGACACGAAGCTGGAAAAAATGAAGAAAGAAAGAGAGGATCGAACCAGAAACGTGAAAGGGATACTGAAAGAATAGAAATGATGGAGACTGGAGAAGGAAGGAAAGAGTTCAATTGACCGCCACAGATAAACCTTGAAATTAAGAGCGAGCAAAAGAAGGAGATGATGGTCCTCTTCCAGCCAAAACTCTTGCTTATATAAAGGCCTTGAAGGAATACATAGTTATGCTGAATTCTGAAGGGTCAATTTCTAAGTTATGGGGAATATGTAAATATATGTCGTTTTATATATTTTTTAAACCTTATTGTAAAATAAAAATAATATTGGACCAACCTTCTCTATAGATACTCAACTGTAAAATAATAACGAACATTTATCACAATTAGTACAAATAAATTATTTTTATGTATTAAAATTATGTGGTTTGATTGATAATATGTTTGACATTTATATTTTTAACTATCAGATTATATATATATATATCACGTATTGGTACATAAATATTTATTTTCAAATTAAAATATTGAATGTATAATTTGATAAATATTGTAGAATTTAAGAAAAATAAATAAATCAAATTAACCAGAATCGAATGGTTATTTCCTCTCAAGTTGACAAATCAAGAAGAGAATCGGATGCTGGATGTAATCCAACAGTTCATAAAGGTGGGCTAAGCCAGGTTTGTAAAAAAAAAAATAATAATAATAAAAAATAAAATTAAGCGATGGTAACATTTATTTTAAGGTATTTTCTATTTTACATTTCAATTTGATCCGGTTTGAATATTCATAATTTATATCGAAAATAATCAAATTAATTCAAATTTAAAAATAAAAATAAATATAATGGAGTTGGGGGATGAAAACTTTAATAATTAAAAATAAAATAGAGATAAAGCAGAAAGGGCATGGGATATGAATTGAATTTGTCAAGCAGACAATGACACGTCTTCATTATGTCAGTCCGCCCATGCACCTTTAATATGCATATTTTAATATTATCAAATTTTATTCACTTTTTTATCGCTAATTTGAATTTTATCAAATTTTCATGTATAAATTTAAATAATCTGCTGTTGATTTTTATATTAAGTTTTATAAATAATATATTTGGCTCCCCCCACAATGAGTCCAATTAGCACGTTCCGTAATTTATTGCTTAGAAAAAGTAATACGATTATAACTGTATTGTTACTGGCTCTAACTGAATTTTTAATTTGATCCAAAAGTAACGGAATCAAAAGTCCTCTCATTTTAAGATTCAAATGATTTAGATCTTAACCATTAAATTTCATTAAGTACTATGATTTGAATAAATCCATAATTTAAATTGTAAAACTGATGATCGGTTTACTTAAAATAATAAATTAACACATTTTAAATTCATTTAATTTTGATAAAATTCAATGTAGCTGAATTAATCAAAGTAAATATCCGTTCAAATATATACAAATTTTTATTTTTTGTTATGTTTACTTTATTTTATTCAATTTTGGTTGACCTGGCACCAAATTAACAATATTTTGACTTTAGGCTTATACGAGAGCCAATTCCTTCAAGTAGGCCACCTCTACATTTTTTTTTTTTTTTTACTGAAGAAGACATCTCTACAATGCTTAGCAATCCACGTAGGATCCACATGGTCGCCAACTCTTTATTATATTACCCGCTAATAATTATTGAAGTGGTCACGTAATCATTTTTCAGTATACTTTTATAACACCATATAAAAAAATTAAGTAATTATTAATGTAAATTTTGTGTTAAATTTAGTTATGCATAAATTAAAACCCAAGAAAAATTTTATTAAATTAAAATTTACTCCTAAATATACAAGAAAAAAAAAAGAATTAGGGACCCAATTGAACGAATTTTAATTAATTTGGGGCTCTTTTTAATAAAAAAATATATTTAGGGACCAAAATGCAAGAAAAATACAAAATGAGTCTTCGCATAATTTTTGAAACATCTGCCACCTAAACAGATGGTCTGGCAGCGGACCAATTGGGGAGTGTCGCGTGTTTGCTGACATGCACTCTTGGCCAACCGATCAAATTGGTCCTGAGCGTTTGGGGCAGATCTAACGGTGATGAGCATCGGGACTAGATCCAACGACCCACATACAAGATGTTGATCGGACGACCTGCATGTGTTCTTAAGCAATCCAATCGTCATGCAAATGAACGACCGAGATCTAAAGAGGATCGCGATTTAATGGTTGCAATTGCCCAATGGCAAAATTATGATTTTGCCACTAATGATCAAATGGACTGCACGCGGCCACATATGGCAAGATTGTGCGGTCCAGATCTGTTGAAGGTTGGGTTTAAAAAGCCAAGCCAAGCCAAGCCAAGCTAAGCCAAGCCATTCGACCCAGCCCGATCAGGCAGAAGAAAAAGAAAGAAAAAAAAAAAGAATTAAAAAAATAAGAAAAAAAAGAGTAAGAAAGAAGAGAGAGAAAGTGATGGGAACGCGTTGCACAGCGGAAAGATGCGAGAAGGAGAGGCAGAACGTGCCGGAAGGGATGCATACTATACGAGGAAGGCCATTCGCGGCCAACCGGTGCCGGAAATCGCGAATATTCGTCGGATTTTCTGGAAACTCACTACCCCAACACGTGATCAAACTGACATTTTTGTATGTAATTTTTTAGAGTTTTGTCTATCATTTTAATTAAAGAAAATACTCTAGAGATAATTTACATATAATAGAACATGTATGTATGAAGTTCAAATTAAACCAAAATCAAGCCATGCATGCATAAAAAATTGCATGTAATTTATGAGTTTATTACTGACTTGATAAGATTTTTCCTTACAAGTTTTTTCTCAACTTTGGGGACATTTTTGAAGCTTGATTCATTTCATATGGACTTTGTAATTAATAGGTAAGCCTTCATAGCATTAAGTTTTAACAAATTTTATGAAGTAAAGTGAACGACATTTACTTCAAAATATGGGTTGGTGAACAAACTGGTTGAAGAACCAGGTTCCTAAATGGGTTTGTTTTTAAATAATTATATGATTTAAATTCATTTACTTGAATTAAAGTGTATGAATGTATGCTATGATGATTAAATAAAGATTGGTATGAATCACAAGTTAGAATGAAGAAAAATTGAAATAGAATGATGAATTTAGAAATAATTAGGGAGTGAAATTTATAAGTAATTAGTGAGTAAAGTTAGGGAGAATTTGGAAAAATTAGACAAATTAGAAGTTAATTAGAAAAAAAAAAAGTTATAAAAAATATAATAATAATAATAATAATATAATAAAATTAATAAACAAACAAAATAAATAAATATATAGAAATATATAGTTAAATATATAAATAAAAATAATAATAAAATATAAAATAATAATAAATAATAGTATAAATAACAAAAAATAAATTCACAAACAATTACCAAAAACCAAATAAAAAAACAAAATTAACAAATAAAGCTACTTATAACCTAATTAAAATAAGGAGACTACATTAGAAAAAAAAAATAGTGGTGATGGGTGGAAATTTAAATCTGTTTAATAAAATAAAATAAAATATCAATCTTAACTAGAATAGTAAAAAAAAAATAATGCAAATAATAGAAGAAACGAAAACTTAGGGATAACATGTTTAAGATTGATATGCCTAAAATTCAGCAGTATAGTGAATTATATCTTTGGATAGATGGAAACTCTTATAGAGGTGGTTAGGATGTGTTTTCTATTATGGATCACCTGGTGACGAACTACTGTAATTAATGTGCATGTGTTGTTTATGTATGCATCCCTTTGTGATGGTCGGAATCATGATCCCACAATGATACCAATTGGATAATGGATACATCATTTAGTATCAAATAAAACTCTAAAATTTTAATAACTCTAGCTAGGTAATTAGGTTGTGGGAAATTGAGAATCGAGAATACTCGTGAAGGGTTACGGATGTCTTGATTTGACTGTGAATTGCGAGAAATTTTGGTGATTATTCTGATGGATAAGATATGGTTTAGGGAAGCTGGTGAGGAAAAATGAGTCTAGAGAGAATTTGAGGGATAAAGTGTGACCTAGGGAGATTTTGGGAAATAAATTGAACTTATAAGGAATCTGGAGGGATATAACCTAAACTTAGGGGGATTTTGAGAGAGAGACGAAAGTTAGGGGCATAATGAGAGATGAGATAGGAAACTGAATACATTTGCATTTCATAGTTTTCAAATGAAAAGAGAAAGAAAAGTTTTATTTATTTAATTGATTGTTTGATTGTATGTCACACGCCTAAGGTGTAACTTATTTCTTATACATATTAACTGTGTTGAAATTGCTCACCCCATTAAATTATCATCTTTTCCATATCAAGAGGATCTGGTTGTGGATAAGGAGGATCCCACCGTTAAGCCAGATCAAGAAGGATATAGACACTCGTTACAAAAATTATATTTTGTAACCAAACGAGTATCTATTTTATTTTACTTTATCTTACGAACCTTATGTATTATAAACAGTATTAAAATGCAGTTAAGTGATAGATGATGTATGTTTTGAATACATAAATGTTTTGCTTATTGTATTTTCACTGTGTACTAGGGGATTGACGACTGTAATTCCTTCAAAGGAGAGCAGGGGCCTCAGAAGTAGTACCAGAGCAAAATGACCCTAAGATTATCCCTTGAACATGAGGTTTTAGAGTCTAAATATAGATAAGCTTGATCTGAAAAATATTTAGGAATAACACCTTTAGCTGAAATTAAAATGATAAACTTGTGTTTTCTAGTTGTAGGATAACAATATGAGATGTGGGAGACCTTCAGGACAACCTCCCTACGATGGTCCCATAAGGGAGGGGTTTAACTGATTTCTTCATATGATGTAGACCATTATTGCAGATAGGAACAGAGGGACATTACCACCACCGCCTCCTGCATTTGCTCCTATACATACACCTGCACCTGTTCCTACTCCTGCACCTGCCCCTGTACCAACACCCGCCCTTAATCCTATTGATGCTCCTATTCATGATCTTATCCATGCACCACCTCCTCCTAACCAACTCTTAAGCCATCAGAGATTGATGCTATTAACATTAATAAGTTCAGGAGACTTGGTCTGACCAACTTTAGAGTAGGCAATGATTTAAATGTAACTGAACAGTTGATCAGATCTATTGAGAAGATATTCAGGGTACTTGGGGTCATTTTTGAGTAAAAAGTGGTCCTATTAGTGTACATGTTAGAGGGTGAAGCTCAACTG